ACCATGGAATACTATGCAGCCATAAAAAATGATGAGTTTGTTTCCTTTTTAGGGATATGAATAAACCTGGAAACCATCATTCTCAGCAAACTGACATAAGAACAGAAAGTCAAACACTGCATGTTCTCACTCATAGGCTAGTGTTGAACAATGAGAACATATGGACACAGGGAGGGGAGCATCACACACTAGGGTCTGTTGGGGTAACTAGGGGAGGGACAGCAGGGGTTAGGTAGTTGGGGAGGGATAACATGGGGAGAAGTGCCAGATATAGGGGATGGGGATAAAGGCAGCAAACCACATTGCCATATATGTACCTTTGCAACAATCCTGTATGCTCTTCACATGTACCCCAGAACCTAAAGTGAAATAAAATATATATATATATATATATATATATATATATATTTTTTTTTTTAAATGTCTTCTAGGCCAAATAGTGCCTTAACTTTAACCTGTACTCTTTGTAGGTACTTAATTTAAAGTGGAAATGTACTTGGAAGAGGTAACACACTGCATTACTTATTTGTTGTAATTTTTGTATATTTTTTATATATTAGAGAATGAATTCATTTATTAAATCGGTCCTTCAGAGGAATTGGGTAGTGAACATAGAGAAATAGTGCCAACAGGAGAGCTTAAATATTCATCTTTCTTCTGTGCATCCAGATACCACTGTGGTTAAGGAGCAGACTCTTAGAGAGTAAGCGGTGCTAAGGTTAAAGCCTGTTTTTCTGTTTTGCTGGCTGTATGGCACTGGGGAAATCACGGATTCTCCCTAAGTCTCAATTCCTTTATCTGTAAAATAGGGATAATAATGGTACATACCTGATAGAATTATTGTAGGAATCAAAGAAGATGGCATATATAAAATACTGTGTTGATTCTCAGTACACAACAAGTGTTCAGTAAGGGCTACAGAATAACAACAGGAGAGGAGGAATGAAAGGTGATGGTGATGACGACAACAGTGACTTTGGATTCTGACGACGTGAGTGGCAATCATGGCTCTATTGCTTACCAACCATGAGATAGTCACTTTAATTTAGTCTTCTACTGCATATCTGCCCAAACCTCTTAAGGCTTTTGTGAGAACTGAATGACAGGTGCCTGGCACATAGTAAGCACTCCAGATAGGTAGGTCTGACCTAAGGAGCTGCAGAGACACGCACTCTTCTCTGGAAAGGACTGGCCTTTTCCTGTGTCTTAATGGCTCCCTAGGCCTTTTGCTGGATAGCGAGACTTTCATCAAAGGGCAGTGCCTTAGATAAAAGGCTGGGTCAAAAAGAAGTGGCCGGTTAGGCAACCTTCATCCATAAGCTAAGAAAAATTATAGGATGGTGAGAGGACATTACCCCATCTCACAAGGGAATCAGAAACTGCTGAACAAGGTTAAAATAAGAAGCCTGGCCCACACCTATAATCCCAACACTGTGGAAGGTTGAGGCAGGAGGATCACTTGAACTCAAGAGTTTGAGACCAGCCTAGGCAACATAGCAAGACCCCCATCTCTACAAAATATATCTATATACGTACATATATATTTATATATGTACGTATATAGATATATAATTTTATTTTATACAATTAGTTGGGTCTGGTGGTGCACACCTGTAGTCCCAGCTACTCAGGAAGCTGAGGTGGGAAGACTGTTTGAACCTGGGAAGTCAAGGCCGCTGTGAGCTGTGATCACACCACTGCACTCCAGCCTGAGTAACAGAGTGAGACCCTGTCTCAAAAATATTAATAAATAAGAGCCCTGACAGGTTTGTGAGGCTGGGCACTTCTCTGTGTCTTGGGCTGGCTCAACAGCTGCCCTGGAGGGAAATACAGCAAATCCTTAAAAACAAGCAGGGCCTCAGTGGTTGTCTTTGCAGCCAGCAGGACCCATGTGCCCCTCTCCACAGCCCCTCCTCCTCCAGCTGAAGGAAGGATCCCAGGGGACACGTAGCTAGAAAGAGCAGGGTCACCTCTTCATGAAAAGAGGAAGACAGAGGACCAAAATCACAAGAGGAAGACAGAGGACCAAAGTCACATGCTTGGCAGGAAAGAACACAGAACCAGGAAGGGACATTACAGGAGGAGGTGGCTAAGAAGCCCCAACAGAGGAACAAGAGTCAAACTTCATTGCTGGGGCCTGGGGGGTGTGATTAAACCGGCAGCAGGGTCTCCGAGCCATTGCAGAGGGATCGTTAGTGCTCAGACCCCACTGCCGTTTATATCTGAAATGAGTTTGGATTTAGAGACCCAGCGCTGATACCAGCAGAGTGGGGCAAAAAGAAAAAAAATTAAAAATAAAAAAAGAGACCCAGCGCTGAGCTGAGTGGTGTGGATCAGGAGTGTAAGTCGTGAAGCTCACGACTTAATCAGGGGCATGAACACAGCTGACAAATTATAGTGTGATTTGTCATTATCTCAGAGCTTGGCAAGTGTTTGTCCCTGAAAGAATCAATACCTGGAGGGAAAAGGGCCATATTTTTAGAAACTCTTGGATGGGTAATTTATTTCAAGTGAGTAGAGAGTTTATTTATGTTGGCACCCCCTCAGATCCAATGGACAGTATATTTACACAAAGCCAGAAAATGCTATCATTTCTTCGAATCAATTTGCCCCTTTAAACAGCTGTACCTTGTAGCTTTCAGTAATAAACTCACACCCCTTGCTAAAAGCTCTACTGAGAAAAACATTTCCAATCCCACCTTTAGCACTGCTGCCTTCTGTTGGGATGGAATATTACATGTCTCAACACTTTTCCACAAAGATTCTGTTTTCTAAGGCACAATTAAGATGGGCAGGGCAGGTTATGTTAGCCCCATTCTACAAATGAAGAAACAGAGGCTCGTAAGTTGAAAGTAGTACTAGTCAATGTAGACGGGAGTCAGAAAGCAAGCTCTCCCACCTGTAGCTGTGTTTTGCCCCCATTGGACTAAAAGAGCTTGTACAACAGAAATGCCTTTAAAAAGTAAAGAATCAAGAACGTGTTTAAAATACTTAGGTCTGCAGTTGAACTTGGATTCAAATCCCAGCCCATGAGATTTAAATAGGTTTGAACATGGGCACAGATTTCCCATCTCTACAGAGAGACAAATTAAAGTTCCTGCTTCCGAGAATGATTGTAAGCTTGAAAATGAATAACATATATAAAATTTTCATTGCCGTGTCTGGCAGAAATAAGAGTCCAGTAAATGCTATTTATTTTGTTCTATTAGCTACTATTTTCACAGCATTTTTATAATAATAGCAAAACAAATTAAAACACTGTACATATTCAGTAGTGAAATGATTAAAGGAAATATGGTCAGTTTTGTTCCTGGACCAAACTGAGGGTTGGGCTGCTATTTCTTGTGGCCCAATAACAAGATGCAGATGAACTGGGGAGGAAGAGTTTTTATTTCTGTAACCGGTTTACAGGGAGGCTTGGAAATTATTGCCAGACCAACTCAGAATTACAGTTTTCCAGAGCTTATCTGCTTTCTGAGCTATATGTCTACCTGTAAGCATGCATTCATCAAAAGACATAAGTGATTAACTTCTTTTAATCTGTTACCAAAGTCTGAGTCCTAAAGACTTACTTCTGGAGCCTCAGTAAATTTACCTAATCTAAATGGGTCTAGGTACTGTAGCGATTACCTTATCTTGTCTCCTGCTAAATCATAAGTGTTAAGGGAGTCTTTTAGACCCCAATAAACTTGTTTGTGGAGGCCTGGGGAGTTTCTTCAGATCCCCAGTGAAACTTGTTTAATCCTGAAAATTCCTGTTTAGAATTGCTTTGTTATCTCCTCACGCTTCAAGGCCCAGGAAAGGTCTAGGCAACCTTGCTGGGATCTTTATTACACACCAGCCTTTGTATAAGGACCCTGGCTCAGTCAGTTTTTAATGTTTAACCTGGCTACTCAGTGCTGGGACAGTTGTAATGGAGGCCTGCCTTAGTGAGGCCTGGCCTGCCACATATTATACGGTAGGTTTCTGTGCATATTTAATAAAGATATAGAAAAATTTAATAACGTGAAAATGTTCAAGATCTATGAACACTGAATTTGATTGTTAAAATGTATAAATGCACATGTATATGCCTATACTAATATATGTGGATGTGGAGACACACACACACACGCATATATATATATGTGTGTTTTTTTTTTTTTTTAACAGAATCTTGCTCTGCCACCCAGTCTGGAGTGCAGTGGTGCGATCTCAGCTCACTGGAGCCTCCACCTCCCGGGTTCAAGTAGTTCTCATGCCTCAGCCTCCTGAGTAGCTGAGATTACAGACAAGCACCACCATGCCTGGCTAATTTTTGTATTTTTAGTAGAAACAGGGTTTCACCATGTTGGTCAGGCTGGTCTCAAACTTCTGACATCAGGTGATCTGCCCACCTCAGCCTCCCAAAGTGCTGGGATTACAGGTGTGAGCCACCCTGCCTAGATGATGAATATATATTTGTAAAACCCTGGACATATTACATGTACAAGCATTTTAGCTGTGGATCTCTCTACGTGGTAGGATTTGTAATGCCTTTTTTTAATCATCTATTTCTGTGGTGTCCACTAGCCACTTGTAGCTATTTAAGTTTAAATTAATTAAAATCAAATTAAAATTTTTAAGAAAACAATTCCTTAGTCAAACTAGCAAACTTCAAGTGCTCAGTAGCCACACGTGATTAGTGGCTCATACTGTAGCACAATGCAGACTCAAAACAGTCCACCATCGCAGTAAGTTCTGTTAGATCTGAGCTACAGCCCCAGACCCAGGCAGGTCAGAGAAATGCAATCAGCGTAGTAACCTCCCTCTGTCCTGCATCAAACTTTTCATTAGCATTTGCTTTCTCTTCCTTAATGAGGACTTAATTCTTTTTTTCTGACACATTACAACTATCAAAGTGTGACAAAGCAGGGATTACCTTATTTGCAATGGTTCTAACAGTGATTAGCCCTCCCAGTGATCCTATTAAGACGAGATCCCTCTGAATTAATAAACTCACAGAGTCCTCTCTCTCACAGGAGGTACAATTCGAGCCAGAGCTTTTCCACAATACCATCGTGTGTGAGAAACCCAACAACCACCTCAACAAATTTAAGGGTTATATGTAAGTATCTCATGTTCCATGCTGCTAGTAAGTATCTCCACTGCAGCTAGAAAATATATTTTATATTTTGGAGAAATGACCAAACAGATAAGCGTCTTCATCCTGAGGAATTTTATTTTTTGTGTGTGTGATAAAGAAGGACTAGAGAAATTTAAATTGGGAAACTTTCTATTTTTGTTGTTGTTGTTGTTGTTGAATGATAATTATCTTGCAGGGTTAAATTCACCAGTGTTTTATTAAAAAACAACAACACCAACAACAAAAACCTTTGTAACATAGCATCAAAATCAAGATTGTGCTCTGATTCAGGAAGGTGAATATGAATTAATTAAGATCATTTTTTTAAGTGCCTGTATTGCGTTGTAAGTAAGAACAATAACTTTAGAATTTGGCAGATCTGGGTTTGAATAGGGGTTCTGCAAATTACAAGCTATGTGACCTTGGGTAAATTAATTCACCTCTCTGAGCCTGTTTCCACATTCAAAAAAATTAAATTCTAATATCAATATCAAAGGGTTTTTCTTTTCTAAGATTAAGTGACTTAGCATACACAAAACCCTTACCACAGCAACTAGTAGAGAGGAAACATTCAGTTAACAGTGGCTTCTGCTATTAGGATTATTGTTATTCTTATTCCTCAACTTTGGTTCAGCCTAAGAATTTTACTGTGATTCTGCTCCCATATCAGACCACTAGTCTCGCAAAATAAAGAGCCATAGTAACAGATGTGAGTAAATGCCCTTAAACAGTGCTTTTCTACAGGAGTGTCCAATCTTTTGGCTTCCCTGGGCCACACTGGAAGAATTGTCTTGGGCCACGCATAAAAAACACTTAACCCTAACAATAGCCAATGAGGAAAAAAAAAAAAAAAAAACCTCATAATATTTTAAGAAAGTTTATGAATTTGTGTGGGGCCATGTTCAAGCCACCCTGGGCCGCATGTGGGCCGTGGGTCCGACAAGCTTGCTTTGACAGCTTTTAGAGGACTTCCAGAGAGCATTATCTCACATAATCTTCACAACAACCCCAGAGCACGAATATCATGACTTGGATTATGATTATCTGAGACTTTATACATTTAAAGGATCTCCCAAAGTCACACAGCAGGTATAAGACAAAGCCAGGACTCATATGGGGGTCTTTTGACTCCAACACCTGTGTGCTTTCCATAGCCATCCATTGAGGAGCTCAGCCACGTTACACCAACTTCTCCACCTGTAGGGCTTGGAATGAGGCTTAGCAGCTCCCTGAAATGCAGCTGTCTTTGCTTTCCTCTGCCCACATGTCCTCAGGTCATGTGGGATATCATGAGGAGAAATAGAAAGGAGAAACAATAAGAACAATACCAGAGAAACTGTAGGTTTTGTAGGCAAATTACTTCTAAAATACAGAGTGAGCAGGAGACAGGCAGAGAAGGGCCTGAGGTTGTCAGAAAAGGACTTTGCGGCAGAGGAGAGGTAAAGCCTGTCACCTGCTCTGAAGAGAAAGGTGTCCCTTGTGCCTTAGGTTTTTGAACTTGATTGATCCCAAATCACTCATGCCTTGAGTCACTCTCCATATCCTCTTAGAGAACAGCCTTATTGCTAGACTTCTGTTTAGGATCTTTCTCCCCCGAACAGCTCAGGCCAAGAGCCAGGCTTTCTCAGTTTTCAACCTGGGCTCGACCTGCCCCTCTCAGACAGATTCCAGGATAGAACTCTCCCAGCGTCATTCAACCCCAGCACCTCCTCTTCCTGGTTGCTGCTCTGGGAGACCTGTCCTTCCTCCACCTGCCTGGGACTCACGGGTGAGTCCGAAAGTCCAGTTGGGCAATTGAGTAGCTAACCCATGGAATGAAAGAGAATTCCTTGCTGCACTCCTGCATCCTTGCTGCACTTAGCAAAGAGAACACCCTCAGGCCTGGCACCCACAGATTGTCTGCACCTTCTTCCTGAGCAAACCCACTGGTCTGATGCCTCTGGGTTTCCCAGAAGCTCCTGTGAGCCTCATTAATTTAGAAGCTCCCTGAGGCCACATAGGCTGGCTAGAAGATGAATAGCTTTTAATGATCTGTTTGAAGGTTAGAGGTGTCAGATTTGAAAATGTGACTTTTGAACAAAAGAATCTCTCCAGAGCAGCGGTTCTCCACCAGGGGCAGTCCCCACCACCACCACCGCCACTACCATCACCACTCCAACCAGGGGACATTTGACAATGTCTGAAATCATTTTTCTTGCCACAACTGGGGAAAAGTGCTGTTGGCATCGAGTGGGTAGAGGCTAGGGATGCTACAGTACACAGCAGCAGCATGCCCAACCCTAGCATAGAATTGTGTAGTCCAAAATTTTAATAGCACCAAGGCTGAGAAATGCTAGTCTAGAAAAAATACAATAGAGCATCCTTGTAAACCAAGAGCGCTAATAGACAGCAGCTATAAGATAGCAAATCCTTTTCTACCATTCTTTGAAAAAGGAACATTATGACTAAGAAAAGTAGCAGCCTCTCTCATATGCTATCACTTGAGAACATTCGAAAATCATTCTTGAAACTGCAAGTTACTGACAGTGAGGCAAGCAAGATTCATTAGCCCAATATTAACTCCACAGCCAGCCTCCTCCTTAATATACAGAGGGAACAATGGCGGGTCCTGAACCTCAGTCATTCTTAGACCACCTTTATGATTTTTATCATATTCAGTAAAATCTATTTTATCTACCAGATTTTTAATTATCTTTTTCTAAAATTTATTTGAAAAGGAAAATTTATATCACTGGGCCCTATGGGAAACCAGGATCACTTGCTATATTTAAAAAGGTAAAAATTAATACAATGAAATCAAAACAGTTATATTGTAACTACAAATTATTATTTGCTATAGCATTTTTTGCATTAAAAAGTAGGATAGACAAACATTAGAATTGGGTCAAGACTATACCAGCATGAAATGAAACATCTTCCTTGACATATTCAGCAGAATTGAAAACAGAAATGACTCTCTGATTTAGTGTGAGTGAGTGCGGTAGCACTTTAGGTATCCTAATGTAGTGAAAATCTCAATAGGGTAGGTGTCTGGGACCTAGATTCCCTGGTCTTAGGATGTCCCATGTACTAAGTGTATAGCCTTGGAAAAATCTCTGCCCCTCTGAGCTTCCATTTGTTTCTTAAGGAAAAATAATCACCCTGCTGACTTCCCAGACCCACAAAGAGCCAAACAAAATTATGTAAGTAAATGTAGTTTGTAAGCACAGTGAGGAATCATTAGCATTAAAAGGAATATTGAGTGACAAGATAGCACTCTGAGGCCAGACTAGTTCTGAATCCTCATTTTGCCATTTCCTGGCTTTATGAACTTGCCTCAGTTTTCCTGTCTATAAAGTGGGTATGATAATATGCCCTATCTTACAAGGTTGTCATGAGGCTTGAGTGGAAAAGGTTTATAACTGGACTTAGAGATAAGATGTATTAAATAATTATAAGTTTAGAAAAAAAGCTCTAAGAGTTCAGATTATTATTTTTCTGTTTGCCCCAATGTTTTTGGAAATTATATTTAAGCTTACTGAAAATCTCAAAGGCATGGCATCAGGACAGAGTAAATAAAGGCCAGGCCCCAGGTAATAACTAGAGCCGGGGATTGGATTCATAAGTTTCTAGTGTGAGGTGGAAAACTGCAATGCTCCCTGAGGCTAGAAGAAGGAAGAAACTATCTCTACGTTTAGGATCTGCCTCCCAATAAATTGGGCAAAGGGCCACTCCTGTGAGGCCTATTTTATAAGCTATTGAGCAAGTAAAAGCTGTTACAGGAGAGAGGCCGAGTGAGTGATGTGGCTCAGAACAAGAGACACCCACAACCTGCCCTTCCTTTCTTTACCATTCTTACCTGTCCCATGGTATGAAAAGCAAGACTACCTGGAGGATCCTACAGACTTGGAAGTGCAGCTGGTGCAACTCTGGTCCCCAGAAGCTGAGTGACAGTGAGCATGTGAACACTGCCAATCCTCCTAAGGCCAGAAGCCAGTTTCCCTGCACTTTACCCCAAAACAATTTTGTTTGTTTGTTTGCTTTTTAAAGTTTATTAAGAAAGTAAAGGAATAAAAGATTGTTACTCCATAGCAGAGCAGCCCCAAGGGCTGCTGGTTGCCCATTTTTATGGGTATTTCTTGATTATATGCTAAACAAGGAGTGGATGATTCATTAGTTTCCTGGTAAAGGCATGGGCAATTCCCAGAGCTGAGGGTTTCTTTCCTTTTTAAACTATATAGGGTAACTTCCTGACATTGTCATGGCATCTGTAAACAGTCATAGCTTTGGTGGGAGTGTAGCAGTGAGGACAAGCAGAGGTCACTCTCATCACCATCTTGGTTTTGGTGGGTTTTGGCCGGCTTCTTTACTGCAACCTGTCTAAAAACATTTTGAATGTGAGAATTGAAGCCAAGGCTTTTTCAGCAGAGCTCTGCATTTTATGTTGGTAAATGGCAATTTTTTCAGGGTGGACAATTCCCTTCTGATGGTCTAGCTCCCACCCAGGCCTCCTAGGAGCAGTGAAGAGATCGGCCCTTGAACATGAAGGAGATTAGATTCTGAGCTACCATCATTCTTCTGAAAAACAGAAGAAGGATCATGTTCACTTACCACTTCTAGTTCTGTGACACTACCCAGTGACAGAACGGAGAGGCCACCCAACCACCTCCTGTCTTTTATTCATCGTCTCCAGGGAGCATCCTGACAAGACCAGGACTGGATTTGGCTGTGAGAGTCTTCTGCTTCGAGGCTGCACCATCAGAAACACCGAGGTGGCTGTTGGCATTGTCATCTATGCAGGTCATTGTCTCTGGGTAGTTTCCTTTGTCTGAATTTTCCTTTATCCTTCCTCCTCCATCCCCTCCTCCAAATCCATCGTCAGTCAGTGGGAACTGACAACAGTTCATAGTAACTTCCCATTTCTCAGCTAAGCAAATGGAGGCTGGGAATCACAGCAGTTCACTCAGTCTGCAGGAGACATAATGAGATTCCAACTTAATATCACTCATCTGCACAAGACAGGGAAAGGGATTCACACTCAATCATCCCAATGGTTTTGTGCTACTAACTAAAGCCAGAATGAAGTGTATCTTCTTGAGCCTGTGGAATAACCTCACCAAACCTAACGACTTCCCCTTTGGAGCCTCAATTTCCTCATTTGTACAGTGGGGAGAATATTTGTATCTGCCTCATAGAGTGTTTGTAAGGATCAAATTACTCAACACATGAAAAGCATCCAGCACTGCCTATAGCAAAGTGAGGGCTCAGTGGGTTTTAGTTGTTTTGTAGTTACATTTTTACGATTATCTTTATTTATTTTTATGGCTCCAGATATGGAGGTCTATCTCTCCTTCCTACTTTGATTCTGCTTTCCAATGAAAAAAGGTAATGTAGCTCTTCTCACAGTGAAATCTGAAGTCTTGGAGGGCAGTCTTGGGACTGCTGTATCTCTAGTTCTTATCGCCAGTGTGCCTATGCATTCAGTGCACCTGCTGTTACATGAACCTAAAGACTTCTGCCACAACAGAGGAAACGCGGTCTCTGTGGAGTGTCTTCCTTTGCTGGAAAACTCCAGAATGTGTTTCCTTCTGAGTCTTCCATTCACTGGGACACTTTGGAATAGTTTGCTTATTTGCTTTTTTGTTTGGTTTGTTTTGTTCTCCATAGAACCCCACTTCTGATGGACATAGAAGAGCATTTTAATATCCATCAACCATAAGATTTACTCTTCGGGACTGTCAAGGAGAAACAGGTCTTTTTAAAAATAATGTCACAGTCTAGCTAGGTTTCCCTAATTTAGGAGAGGGGGGTTATATTTGTCAGTTTAAATGACTTATTTCCAAGGTCTTTAGCAATGGAGTTCAACACCATCTGGTAAACCTATTGAAAATGAACACTCCAGCAATCTCCACTCTACTAAAAAAGAAAATAGTACTAATAGCCACATAGGTTTGAGCTTTGCTTCTCTGCCTGAATAGAAATAAGGAAGAAACATAAGTAGGTGATGGGAGTGGTATATAAGGTGGCAGATGTGGAGTGTTAACCATGGCTCCGGCTAGTCAGGCTGCCTTGGGGTAAAATCCATTCATATTCTGCATATTCCTGAACAAGATGGTTGAACTCTCAATGCAAGAGAGACTAATAGTTCCTATTTTGTAGCTTTATAAGGCTCAAATGAGGTTATCTGTGTAAAGGGCCTAATACAACAGTTGGAATACATCAGGTCCTCCAAAGTATGAGAAAAGATACCAGTTATTATCTAGAGCTGAGGTTCTCATCTTTGGCACCATTGACATTTTGGTCCATATTATTCTTTGTGACGGGGGCTGTCCTGTAGGGTGTTTAGCATCATCTCTTTCCTCTACCCAGAAGATGCATTAGCACCCCTCACCAAGTCAGACAACCCCAGATTTCTCAAGATGTTGCCAAATGTCCTCTGGGGACTAAAATCACTCCTGGTTGAGAGCAATGGTCCAGAATTCTCATTTCTTCCTTGACATTATCAGTAAACAAAATAGGGCTTCAGAGTCAAAGGCCCAAAAAGGCCAAGGTGAGATTTACAAAAGAAATAGGTCCAATGTAGAAGTATATGCGCCTCACAGCAAATATTGAGTACCAGAAACTGATTTAGTACTTTGCGTATATTGATTTATTTTTCCACTTCATACACCACAATCATCTCCCATTTTTCAGATGAGTAATTGAAGTACAAAGAGATTCACTCACCCAAGTTCACATGTCTACTGAGTTGAACTCTCTGTAACCCCAGGTCAGGTATCCACAGAGCTGACCTCTGTCTGACTCTAGAGTCCACACTCTTATCCACTGTCCCATACTGCCTCCCGTTGAACCCAACTCTTTCCAAAAGGGTGGAGGGGTCTCAGAAGGCAAGGATCAGGTGGGCGAAGGGGATAGTCCCAGGATCCCTGAATGGAGTGACCTTGAGAGGCAGGCAGAGAGACTACAGGCCCAGGAGTGCTGCCGGAACACCCCCCCCCCACAATTACACACACACACACACACACACATACAACTACAGCAACTTGAGTCGAATTTTGGGAGCCTAGAGTTTGTTCACTCCTCCTATTTCATTGCTACTTTAAAACCACAAGGCAACCACCTAAACAGCATTAAAGCCATTTGCTTTTGGAGCTGATGTACTGATTTTCTTTAATTTTGGACAGAAAATACGTGACTGGCATTTTTTTCACTTTGACTGCTGAGGAGTATGGCACTGTAGCTAACATTCAGCAGCCCCAAAGCAGAGGCTCTGTCTAAAGACAAAGTCTGCATTTGACCCTCAGCTCTTAGGTGTGTGACCTTGGGTCCCAGGGGTTGGTGAAAGGAGAAATACACCGGCAATCTGAATCTTAGGTTTGCATTGTGACTCTGATGTTGACTTATTCTTTCACTTCGAGCAGATCTTTTTTACCCTCTAGCCCTCAGTTTCCCTTGTTGGGAAGGAAGGTGACCTGAAGAGATTGGTAGTTTTCAAACTTTGTCATTCTTTCTTTGACCAAAATTGTATGCAAAACTACAACATAGGAGTGGAGCTGCCCAGGGTTAGTGCTGAGGTGGGGACGTTTGGTCCTTAATGCTCTTGCACAGGCAACACCAACAACTTAGGCATGACCAAAGATTTAAGTAGGGAAACTACTGGTCCTAGGCACTGTCTTACCACAGGGCTTTTACACATACAGTTCCCCAGCCTAAAACACTGCAGCAAACTCCGCTCTGCCTTCAGGCCTTTCTTCAACGTCATCTCCTTGGAGAAGCTTTCCCTGAGCAGGCTTTCCAACACCATCTCTTATCCACCTTGGCCTTTGGTTTACTGTGTATTAATTATGTCACAGGACTTATTAATAATGATAATTATCCTTTCTGTCTTCTTGCATATCTTCACTAGAATGGGAATCCCATGTCTTGCCGTTGTATCCCACTGCTAGCCCGTAACAGGCAGAATAGAACCTTTGTGTAAATTAGAAAAAGGCAGCAAGCTTCCTTAAGACAGCTTACTATCATTTGCCAGAACTCTGTTCATAATAAACTTACAAATCTTTGGCAACTGCAGAATGAGGACTACCCTCTGGAGTTGTGCAGGACACAGCCTGTGCATGGGAACTCTGTCAATGCCCACCGCAGTATCTGGCATGCATGTAGGGGATGCTCGCTGAGTACCTGCTGGTAAATTATGTGAGGCCTCTACAGCTGTTCTCAGCAACCTTCTGAGACAGGGAAAGTTCCGGTTAAAGAGTGAATCCTCAGGCCGGGCGCGGTGGCTCAAGCCTGTAATCCTAGCACTTTGGGAGGCTGAGGCGGACGGATCACGAGGTCAGGAGATCGAGGCCATCTTGGCCAACATGGTGAAACTCCGTCTCTACTAAAAATACAAAAAATTAGCTGGGTATGGTGGCGTGTGCCTGTAGTCCCAGCTACTCGGGAGGCTGAGGCAGGAGAATTGCTTGAACCAGGAGGCGGAGGTTGCAGTGAGCCAAGATTGTGCCACTGCACTCCAGCCTGGTGCCTGGCAACAGAGTGAGACTCTGTCTCAAAAAAAAAAAAAAAAAGTGACTCCTCTCTTTTATCTTAAGCTCCTGTGAGAAGAGCTGAGGGAATGGTCTAAGACGTAGGCAGATGGGAGCTAAGGGACTGATTTCCTCATTTTCTCTCAAAGGCCATGAGACAAAAGCCATGCTGAACAACAGCGGCCCCCGGTACAAACGCAGCAAGATTGAGCGGCGCATAAACACAGACATCTTCTTCTGCATTGGGATCCTCATCCTCATGTGCCTTATTGGAGCTGTAGGTATGGGATGTTCTGGAAAGAACAAGAACACAGTAACCAATTTCTTTGGGCAAGTTTCCTCACTTGTAAAGTAGAGCTAAAAAAATGTAAAGCCTACCCTGCCTACTTCAATGGGATGCCAATGAAATGAAAAGGCAAGAGAAAATCTCCTAAAAGTAGTATGTGCTCTTTAACTATTTTTAATATCATCTGATATTTATTTGCTCAAGAAATATTTACTGAACACAGGCGCTCTCATAGCATGGGAGGAAAACAAGATGAATCAGTCATAGGACTGGTCCTCAAAGAGCTCATAGTCTAGCAAGAAGGAGAACCAAATCAGTAATGCAATCTGTTCCACTCACACTGGGCTGCACACTGGGACTGTGTTTGTTTCCCATTGCCACTGCCAAACATGAACACACAGTGATTTAGAACAACACAAATGTATTATGCTACATCTCTGGAGATCAGAAGTTCAAATCAATTTCAGCAGGTTAAAGCAGGAGTCCCTAAAACCTGGGCCAATGAGCAGTACCTCCTGCCAGATCAGCGGTGGCATTAGATTCTCACGGGAGCGCAAACCCTATGGTGAACTGCTCATGTGAGAGATCTGGATTGCACGCTCCTTATGAGAACCTAATGCCTGATGATCTGTCACTGTCTCACATCACCCCTAGATGGGACCATCTAGTTGCAAGAAAAGAAGCTCAGGGTTACCACCTATTCCACTATGGTGAGTTGTATAATTATTTCACTATATATTACAATGTAATAATAGAAATAAAGTGCACTGTAAAGGTAATGCACTTGAATCCTGAAACCATCTCCCCCTCCCCACTAACTGTGGAAAAATTGTCTTCCACAAAACCAGTCACTGGTACCAAAAAGGTTGGGGACCACTGGGTTAAAGTCAAGGTATCAGCAGTGCTGGTTCCTCCTGGAGGCTCTGAGGGAAGGATCTATTCCTTTTCTTTTTCAGTGTCTAGTGGCTGCCTGTAGTCTTTAGTTTGTGGTTCCTTCCTCCGTCTTCAGAGTGCCCCACCCCAATCACTGCCTACATTTTCCTCTCCTCATCTGCAGCAGTAGTTCTCCCTGCCTTTTACAAGACACTTGTGATTACATCATTGGGCCCACCTTTATAATTCTTGAAGAGGTAGCTTCTAGAGCTGATTCTCAAGCAGAGTAGACATTTGCCAGAGGAGGAGGGTGGCAGAGCCAAGTGTAGGGGCTGGACAGGGCAGGCCACTGTGAGCAGAAAGAGAGAGACCACCCATAGCCACAGGAAAATCACAAGCAAAGCACAGAGGCAGAAAGGAAAATCATTTTGTGCAGAGGGGCAGTTGGCTGTTGGGTGTGGCAAGAGTAAGACCAAGAATGGAGACCTTAGCAGAGCCAGCCTATGGCCCGAGTTGAGTGAGAAGCACCATGAGAGGTGGAGACAGGAGTGATCTGGAGCCCTTTAAATTGATCCTCAGAGTGTAGGTAAAGAGGGGCCTACACTCCCGCCCCATCTATAGTCTTATTCTAAGAATGGTTCTCAGGATGCTATAGGAGATCCCAAAAAGATCCAGGGACAATCAAGAGAAAAACTCATATCCTGAGTCCAGAACCACAAAGACCCCAAACCAATGAGCAGCAGTGTGCTGTTTCCTTGCCTTAGTCAGAAATGGTACCTGTTGCTGTTGTTAGAAACACAGTATCTGAAAAGCTGAGTGCTTCCTGGGGGCTCAGAGAGACTATGTGGATAGATGGATAGATGGATGAATAGATGTGTGCCACTACAGTGATGATGATGGGATTGAGTCTTGTGGGTGGCCTGGAGTTCTCAGGTGTGTCTAATAGCACTTCCCTTGAGGCTGGCTCACAGCTGTAAGGAGAGCACCTGGGGAGGGGAAGCAAGGAAACAAGCCATTGTCTCACTCCCACCCTCCCCCCAACCCATGTGGCCACCTCTGTGTCCCCAAGATGCTGCAGGAACTGCTGCTTTTGCTTCAGAACAGGGTTTTTTCAGGGCATAGCAGAGTGAAAAGGACATTTGAGATCATCTCACTGTGTCTCCAGAGAAAGAAAGTTAATGATTAAAAGGTCATAGGGCAAGATAAGGCACAGGCAAACCAGAATCTGCTTGGCAGATTCGCCAAAACAATAAAGAAATGAAGAAATATCATGGGGGAGGGTCAGAATTCTATTCTATCTGAGATAACAATTCATACACAGGACTGTGTTGGTGCCTAATTAAAGCACGGCCCTATAGAAGATGAAATCTCTCAAATTAGCACTATTCCACAGTTCTTGACCACATGTTTACTTTGATTTTGTAAAAGTGGTGTCTCTTCTTTCCTCACCCAGTATACCCTGCCCTGGCCTTCCCGACCACCCAAACACCTGTGGGGGCTCCAGGACCCCCTCAAGTCCCCTCTTCCATGCAGCCTTCTCAGGCCTTTCCCATGCTCTTGTCTTACTCCCCTAAAGGCCAGTGGTGCTTACTCTGTGCCATGTGTTTGGTCCTTAGTCATCTGCTTTATAATACTAACTTCATATAAATAGCTTTGTGTCTGTAAGTTTCCTTTCTTCTGCTAGGTATGATGACATTTGGCCCAACCTCCTGGGCGAGGAAGCATCTTTTGAGATTGCAACATCCCCTATGCCTTTTATTCTCTATAATTCTTGGAACTGAGAGCATTTTAAACATGAGGTTATTCTAACAATAACTCTATAGGGAAGGTATTATTACTATTTAACAGACAAGGACACTGAGGTTTAGTGAGCTCTTTAACAGGTGCTGGATGCACTTCACCTTACATAATCCTCAGATAATAGGTGTTGCTATCTCCTTTGCAGATAATGAAACAGAGTTCAGTATGTACCTGGTGCTGTTGCTATGGGCTCTCACAGCATTCCAGGCTCTGCTATTACACCTCTCATACCGTATGTGATTTGTCCTTTTATGTCTGGCTCCCTAATTTGGAAGAAAACTCCACAATGACAAGAACTAGTACTAACTTCTTGACTTCTTGAATTAATCAATGTTAGACAGAAAGATGAATGAGTAAACAGGGATGGATGGATGCATGGGTAAATGGGTAGGTGAGTGGGTGGATGGATATATAGATAGATAAATGGGTGAGTATATGGATGGATGGATGAACGGATAGAAAAATGGATGAATAGAAGGATGGATGGATGGATGGATGGATGGATGGATGGATGAGTAGATGGGTGGGTGGATGCAGGGATTAATGGATGGATAGATGGGTCAGTAGATGGGTAGATGGATGGATGAATGGATAGAAAAATGGAAGAACAGAAGGATGGATGGATAGATGGAAGGATATATGGATAGATGAGTAGACGGGTAGATGGATGGATAAATGGATAGATGAATAGATAGAAAAATGGATGGAAGTATAGACGGGTGAGTAGATGGGTGGATGGATGGAAGGATTGATGGATGGATAGATGGGTCAGTAGATTGGTGAATGGGTGAATGAATGGATAGATGAATGGACAGAAAAATGGATGAATGGAAGGAGGGATAGATAGATGGAAGGATGGATGGATGGATAGACGGGTGAATAGATGGGTGGGTGGATGGATAAATGGATAGATGAATGGACAGAGAAATGGATGAATGGAAGGGTGGATGGATGGGTAGATGGGTGGGTGGATGGAGGGGTTGATGGATGGATGGATGGATGGATAGATAGATGAGTAGATGGGTGAATGGATGGATGAATGGATAGATGAATAAATAGAAAAATGAAGGAAGAGAGGGAGGAAGAGAGGGAAGGAAGATGGATGCGTGTATAGAGATGGATAGATGGATGGATGGATAGATAGATGGGTGAGTAGATGGGTGGGTAGATGGAGGGATTGATGGATAGATTAATGGATAGAAAAATGAATGAATGGAAGGATGGATAGGGAGATGGGTATTAGATGGGATAAGACGGGACTAGGGGAGAGGTCTCTCAAGGCACCCCACCCATGCAAAAAAGTGTGCACCACAGAACAAAAAAGAAAAAGTATTTCTTTCTCTCCTTCCAGCTCCTTTTTAACAAGACTTAATGAAAACATAAGTAATCTTCATACCAATTTCCTCTGTGAAACAAATTTAATGCCTATCAAGGGATTGAAATGCATATGAGGAACCACTTTAGAGCTAAATGAACACATACACATACACACACACGTATACACACACAGAGCTATGTTGTATAGAAAAAGGAGGGGTCCTCCAAAGCACACCCATTTCCAGGAATTTGTCAAGGGCTAGTGTAATTGACCAATTTTAGGACTTAGTGGAGATTCAGCCTCATTCCTGGTTTCGCCTCCTCTCAGGTCACAGCATCTGGAATGGGACCTTTGAAGAACACCCTCCCTTTGACGTGCCAGAGGCCAACGGCAGCTTCCTTCCCCGTGCCCTTGGGGGCTTCTACATGTTCCTCACAATGATTATCCTGCTCCAGGTAGAAAGCCCTCCCTAACTAGAGCCCCAATAAGATATGTAACCAAAACCCCTACAACTTTGTAAAATAAAGAAAAATCAGTGCTGGCCACAAGAAAGTACAAACAGGAAGGAGAATGAGGATATGGTCATCATTTTCTTGTAGGTCTTTGAAAATATTCACATTTTGGGTGATTTAAGGACCTTGCACTCTAGATAACAACTGGAGGGAAATATTTATCAGGCTTTTCTATTTAAGAGTAAGATGACAGCAGTGACCCACATGTGTCTGTCCCTTTGTCAGAACATATAAAACGCTAATGACCTAGGAGTAAAAGAAGATAACACAGTGAGCTACAGAAAACTCTCATGCCCCTAACATTGAGAGAGAGAAACCACAAGTTAGTGTTTAACATTTGATACATTGAGAAAAAAAGAAGAACAGAACTGGCCTAATATAGGACAGGGGAAAAAAAACAGAGAGCACCTACAAAATGTGAGGCAGTAACTGATGAAGAGATGAATTTTAAAATCTTCATGGTCTCTAAGAAAATACAATCTATGAGAAGATGAGAGAAGTTGTAGTTTTACTTTTGTGGAGCTCCATCTACCATTTCTTGTAGTATTGGAGGATGTTTCATTGCCCCCTTATTGGTGAACATTTTCCATTCATTCATCTATCAGAGTAATCTATTTTAAATGTGAATTAAATCATACCCCTCCTATATACAGAATCCTCTCATGGTTTCATAACCACTCAAAGTGAAATCCAAAGTCCTCACGGTGGCTGATGAAGCCCTTAGTGATCTGGACCCTGACTCCCTCCCTCACCTCCTCTCCTAGCCCTCTCCCCACCTCACTCACCTGCAAGGACTGCTCCCTATTGCTTTCCAAACACCACCCCCACTGCCAGGCCTGTACCTGGCTTTCTCCTCTGCTCGAAACGCTCCTCCCCAGATAACCTCACAACTCACACCCTGGCTTCCTCATGTACCGGTTCAAAGGCCGTGGTTTACAAACATTCTACCCAGCCATCAATCTACCCCCTTTTCTTTTCTTTATTCTTCCTCATGCGACTTACCACCACTGATATATATTTATTTGTTTGTTCACTGTCACTGGAAGGTGAGTTCTTCAAAGCCAGGAATTATGTTCTGTTGACTCATTTCCAGGACTTAGAACAGCATCAAATGCACAGCAAGCACTTGATACATGCCAAGTACTGAATCAGTGGGGAGAAATTAACAATAGGTCTGAATACCTATAAAAGTGGGCAGCAGCCCTTGGTGGCACAGAGATCTGGCAGGAGTCAAGGGACTCTAAACAGAGATGCTAAATCTCCCTCACTCCCTCCCAGCTCAGTCACAGACAACCAACGGTGAGTGCCTACCTTGTACCATACATCCCTGGACAAAGAAGACATATCCGTTTTTCAGATTCCCCTAAGAATTCCAAGGGATGCATGAGGTCATTGACCATTAATTTCACAGTCTGTCCTGTGAGCTGACCTCAGCTTTCCATTAAATGCCTTTGCTACCTGCTAGTGAGGATCCCAAGGGAGGAAACCTGCCTGGTTTCTGACATGGTAGAAACTCATCTCTTTGCAGGTGCTGATCCCCATCTCTTTGTACGTCTCCATTGAGCTGGTGAAGCTCGGGCAAGTGTTCTTCTTGAACAATGACCTTGACCTGTATGATGAAGAGACTGATTTATCTATTCAGTGTCGAGCCCTCAACATCACGGAGGACTTGGGCCAGATCCAGTACATCTTCTCTGATAAGACGGGGACCCTGACAGAGAACAAGATGGTGTTTCGACGTTGCACCATCATGGGCAGCGAGTATTCTCACCAAGAAAATGGTACGAGAGCTCCCAAAGGCTCCATCCCTCTTTCTAAAAGGAAATACCCTGCTCTCCTAAGAAACGAGGGGATAGAAGACATTCTCCTGTCTCTCTTAGAGGCTGTGTGGCATTTCCACAAGTTTCTCCCTGTATCCCTGTGGTCTTCCTTGTCACAGATCAGGGCTGTTCCAATTACTTGTAAATTTTCATTTGTTCACAAAGGTTAGAAGTTATCCCATATGTGGTGCCCCTCCAGTTGATCTTTGTCTGGTGCTAGGCAAAGCACTTTACAAGACAAGATTTTTTATCTGTCAGCAACGGATTGGAGACATTTCCCAATCATGTGCCAGTCATACAAGGATTGGGAATTTTTCAGGCCACATTTCCTGACATCTCAGGGCAGGTCTGGGTCTAGGCACGTGGTCAGATTTAACACATCCAGAAAATGCCTTCTATTCCAACAGATCTCTTAGATTGGCACTGAGGCAAAGTTTTGATTTAGGAGATAGGGCTATAAAAGGCCTGGACTGTTACCTTTCATGGACTGAATATGACTCATAAAACTGACCTGATTCCTTCAGCCATGATCTCCCCAACTTTGCCTGCCTCCCCCACCCACACACACACTTTCTAAGAAAGGAGACTCCTAAGAGAGCAGCATTCATTCTTTTGAGTGGGAGGGATGGAGAAAGAAAAAGGTGGAGAGGATATTATAAGCAGCCTTATCCCCTTTCCTGTGGTGATTGCAGACTATTTACGTGGCAGCATCTGATCTCTTTGTAATAATAATAAAAGCTACATTACCAGTACTTAGAGCATGCTAGACATTTTAACACATTATATCATTAAATCTTCAGAGCATCCCTATGAGTTAAAAACTTAAAAAAAAAAACCCTGAGGAAGTAAAGTGGCGGGTTATGGCAAAGCTCAAAGTCACATGACTAGTAGGTAGTCCACTAAGGTTTGAATCTGTAGGACTGAGTTGTACCCTTCTTGCTCCAGTCTTGGCAGCCCAGATGCTAATTTTCCAGAGTAGCATAGGCCTTTTCCAAGCTCTTGCCCCACCCCAAATTCTAGTCTCTCCCCAACATGGTCCAGCAAAGGTAAAACTAGTACAATAACAGGACTCCTTTCTTGCAGCTAAGCGACTGGAGACCCCAAAGGAGCTGGACTCAGATGGTGAAGAGTGGACCCAGTACCAATGCCTGTCCTTCCCAGCCAGATGGGCCCAAGATTCAACAATTATGAGAGGCCAAAAAGGTGCTCAGCCTTTGAAGAGGAGCCAGAGTGCCCGGGTGCCCATCCAGGGCCACTACCGGCAAAGATCTATGGGGAACCGTGAAAGCTCACAGCCTCCTGTGGCCTTCAGCAGCTCCATAGTAAGTCCCTGAATTCCCCCTTTTAACAGCAAGTGTTCTGTGGGGAGAGATGGGAGAGGGCTTCGGAATGTGAAAAGAAAAGATTGTGCAAACCCTGAAGAGCTTTCAGAATGGTGCTCTTGATTTTGTATATAGTCCACATGTGTGTTTTGCTGGCATAGACAATTCCTGTTCATTTGAAATGTTCAATGTTTAGAAATCAGGAGATTTTATGTAAGCATATAGATTTTTTGGCTTCTCTCTTAAAAATTGAATTATAAAAATTCTCCACACTAAGCCAGCATTTCCTCATGGCAATTGACTTGAGTTGAGAGGTCCCTAACAGTTAGACTGGCCATGCCATCTTCAGCTCATCACAGCCCCTGCCCGCCTTCTCTATTTATCCCACCACTGAGGTAGGGGGCAACTGTATAATTTTAAAAACATGCATAATGGTTATGTTTTCTCCCTCTCATCCAGAACATGAGAGGGAGAAAAGAGACCCATTAGGCATGTTTGGATGAGGGGAAGGAAACATACTTATTAGGCGTGTATTTAAAATTATACACTTAGGAGAAATGAGAAATATTTGTTATGCTCATGTTTCCATAAGGGAGAAAAACAAAAGATACACCTGTAAGGCATATGTGTTTGAAAAAGAAAATGGGAGAATATACTTTTTGGTGATGATCAAAAATAAGTTTTAAATAGTTATGGAGCAAATAATATCTATGTCAAGATTACCCAGCCCATTTCTTTCCCTTAGGCTAACTGCCTAATTCCCTTTGGCCCTTATGGGCATTGCTTGTTTCTGGCTTTGGTCTGGGGCTTTCTGCATATGGTCCTTTTACATTTGATCCACTAGAACAGCCATCAGCAAACATCCAGGTAGCAAGTAAAGGAAACCATGTTCCCACCCTCAGAGACTACACAGCATTCCTTAGAAGTCAAGGCCAGACCAGGGCTTCTGGCTACTGTCCTATTCCTCTTTCCTTTGCACACACTCTTTCTCCAGGGAACATAAAAACACATCATCTGGAACCTCTGCACTTACAGAAGAGGCCACAGGGAGCCCCAGCAATCTTGAACAAGACACACATATTAACAGATGGGACCTCAAGGGCTACTATCGCTTTGTTGGAAAATTAGATTATAAAAATCTTTTTGGCCAATTTTTTTCCAGTCTTTTATTTCCCCCATGAAAACACACACACACACACACACACACACAGAGAGAGAGACACACACGCACACACACACACGCAATAACTACATATATTTAACATTTCTTACAATCATGGGACATATCGATTGTAGATGCTAGGATTTTTTTTTAACCTAACATGATAGCAAAATCATTTTCCATATTTCTACCTGGTATTCATAACCAACGACTGTGTTTTCTGACTGAGACAAACAAGAAACACTGTGAGCCTGTGTTCTGGGTCGTTACTCATCTAACTTTTGGTGAGTATAAAGTTGAGTTCCCTCTTTTGGGTTATTGTCATGCACAGAAATGCAACATTAGCAAGGATAAGACAGGAACAGTGTGTTAAGACATATGACCTTAATGAATACACAAGTGAAATGATCCATAGGTGTCTGCAGGGAGATTTTTGTATTTTTTTTCTCCTTTTTGATTTTCCCAAGAGAGATAACAACAAGGTGTGCATATTACTACATCCTTCTTAATTCTTCCCCCATGAATGTAATGCACTTCTCCAAGCTCTTTTCTTAAATATTCATAAAATGACCTTAGTGAATTCTCATGAGACACAGATTCTATGTGTCTTTGGCACCTTCAAGTTCTAGGTACCACAGGTATCCCACGTGCCTGAGAATGTCTCCTCCAAAATATGAGAGGGAGAAAAAGGAAGCTTTCCTTTGTGGATCTCAGTTGGGTCACATCAGTTCACTGGCCCCAGTTCAGCCTGACGAGTCTCAACAGCCCAGAAAAACTGCATTCCTGGACCAGCCAGTAAAACTTTGATGCAGGGCTTTTAGCCAAAGGTCAGTGAGAGGGACACATCAACCCCAGAGCTATCTCCAGATCCTGGATGTCATCATCCTGCCATGGCTGGCAGTCCCAAAGGCAAGTTCTAACTAAGTTCATTCAAGAGCAATAAGGAACTTGACGCATGGGTTAAGTCCCAATTCCTGTTGCCTGGGCAAGGGAAGATGGTGATATGTTCTTTTTGAACAGCTAAGTATACCCATGCAATCAGGTCACTTGAAAATCTGGGGTTAATGGAACAATTGTATCTTTGAGTAGTTTTGAGGAAGAGCACTGGGCTAAGAGTTAGGTAATGGACATTCTGGTTTTAGTTCTGCTACTGGCTTGCTAGGTAACATTAAGCAACATGTTAAACCTCCTTCTATGTCTCTTTCATCATCTGAAAATACTTATAATTCTCACCAAGCTGTTCTGAAGATCAAATAACATAATGTTTTGCTGACCTGCAAGATCATTCTGGCTATGAATTAGGCACATGTGGGGTCCAGTGTTTCAGGCTTTCATCTACGCTGCACCATGTACTAGCTCTGCGATTTTTGTCAGCTTACTGAAATGGAAGCCTCAACTTACCCATTGTTAAAATGAGGATAATTGTTCTGGCTTGTGAGTTTATTTTGAGGATTTACTTGATTTATTTACTTATTTATTTATTTATTTATTGAGACATAGTTTTGCTCGTGTTGCCCAGGCTGGAGTGCAGTGGTGTGATCTTGGCTCACTGCAACCTCCACCTCCCTGGTTCAAGCGATTCTCCTGTCTCAGCCTCCTGAGTAGTTGGGATTACAGGTGCTTGCCACTACACCTGGCTAATTTTTGGTATTTTTAGTAGATATGGGGTTTCACCATGTTGGCCAGGCTGGTCTTGAACTCCTGACCTCAGGTGATCCACCCGCTTCAGCCTCCCAAAGTGCTGGGATTACAGGCGTGAGTCACTGTGCCCAGCCTGAGGATTTCATTCTTAAAATTGTGTGTTCTAAGCAGACAGATACCTAATGGAAGTTTTAAATGATCTTTCTAAAGGAAAGCTGTCTGCCTTGAACAAATGTTCACATATCTGATGTCATGAAGAGAAAATGGGGAGTTTTCATAAAATACAGTTGTTGGAGTCTCTCCCCTGAGATCCTGGTGTATTTGGTCTAGGGTGAATCCTGAGCATTTATAGTTTAATTTCTGATGATTCTAGGGAGCAGCCAAGATGGGGACCCTCCATAAGCAGAACATCATCCTACGAGGAAAGAGTCTTCACTTGGCTCAAATTGGCACTTTCTACAGCTTGGGAGGCATTTGCTGAAGGGAGTGAAGTATACAGTCTTCAAGGACTCTTGTACTAACCCGTCAAATACCTCTGGCTGGTGTCAGATCCTTGAAGTTGTCCCTAGAGAGCTCCTGCAGCAGCTCCAAGTGGCTGTCTCGGTGCCCACCCCCACCCACTCCTGGCAGACTCTCTGCACTTGTCCCCTTACACCTGCCTTCTGTGCCTTCCTGCACCTGCCCATCTGGCACCCAATCTGGTCTGATCATCTCTTGGAACCACCAGTTCCTTACATTCCCTTAGTGAACTCAATCAAAATTTGCCTCTGAAACCCCCAGGGAGCATTCTACCACCTTCTAAAGAAGCCAGTTGTTAGTTTCCTTAGCTCTTTGCTCTAAACCAAAGATAAAACAAGAATCGACAAAAACAGCAACAACAGAAGCTGGGTTTTTTTTTTTCTTTTACTATGAAAAAACAAGAAACCATCAGTGATTGCCACCTAATTGCCTGCAATAAAATCTGTGGCTTTAAGATGAGGGTAATATGCTTATTAAAATGATGAGTTGAGTCCCAAGCCAATGTTTAATAGTACTGGCAGATGGAAAATGAAATGGCTTTTTTTTTCTTTCTTGTCTGTAAGCAGCCAAGATTTGAGCAGAGTCTTTGTTTAAAAACGCCACTTGCAGAATGTTTTTCAGCACCATCAGACCAAAGAATATCTTCCTAATCCTAAAATTTGTACTGAGGCCAGTTAGGTTCCTCCAGACTTCCCCACTGCTTTCCTCTGTGGACATCCCCCCCCCACCCCACCCATCTGAAGAGAATGCAACAGAGAGGAGCGAAGGAGGTGTCATTGGACCCCTGCCTCCTTTCACTAATCTTGGTCTGCCTTTCTTTCTTTGGAAAAGATTTATGCAGCACTCCCAGTCTGCTCCAAATTGGTGGGACAGCCCACATACACACACTCCCACTGTAAGGTTAGATAAGAGTCCTGATTTAATTAGCCAAGTACACAGAATCTTTCTGGAAGTTATGTGATCACACAGGGCAGGAAGCAGTGAAGCCTATCTGTATCCCCCTTGTCCTCCAGTGTCCCAAATTGGGGTGGGGGGACCCAGCCACAGTGACACTGTTCACAAGAGGTAGAAACTGCCAAGATCTGGAAAATGCCCTTCTGTCTTCACCACTGAGATTTATTTCTTTGGGCTTATGCCCCATTTGGGAAAAGTTTACCCTAACAATTCATGTGTTCCTATTTAAGTGAGCATTTACTAACATTTGACTTCCCTAGTTCTTGATTCAAACCAAATGTCATCAAGGCCACAGCCTTAGACAGGACAAAAACATCACTGCCCTAAACACTGTTAGCCTCCAGCTCCCCAGCAACTAGGAAAATCTTTCCATAATAATCATAGCCCACAGGGTTACGTAATCAAAAGGAGCCAAAGGCTGATGGTGGAAAGTAAGTGTCCCTCTATCCTCTCTTCCCACCACCTCAGGCACAACCATGATTACCAGCTCCTATGTGTCCTTCCCAAAAGTGTACAGAAACATACAAGCATGGCATACACATGAGCACATCCTTCACTGCAAGTGGAAGCATACTGTACCCACTGTTTTGGACTGTGCTTCTTTCTTCAACCTAATGAATTTTAAAGAATATTTCCTATGTGTAGACAGACAGGTAGACATTCAATAGAAAGCTGCCTCATCTTTTTTTTTAATGACTGCTAGAATTCACTGGATAGTTGAGCC